TCTGGTTGACAACATTGCGTATATGTGGTCACGACTTGTTGCTGGGGGTTAAATGTGTCCTGTGTGCCTCAACGGGAGGAGGACCTTTGGAAGCTTGTAACCAGCCCTCTGTGGACTTCACCCCATACACATTTCCCTTTGCTGAGTTTGCTTTGTTTTCAGTGTAATAAATCATAGCCATGAGTACGACACTATGCTGGGTCCTGTGAGTCCTCCTGGAAAACGACTGAATTATTGTGTCAGTCCCCCCGACACAAGATACTGTCATTACCTTTAAGGAAGTCATAGATAAATAAGAGAAATAAAACGTGCACTTGAAACTAACTGCATAAGATTAGAATTTAATAATGTATTAAGTATAAGAGGGGATAGGGACTAATACTGCTTGTAACTGGGTATTTAGATGTCGTCTTCAGTTATTTCAGTGTTTTATAGCAAATGCAATCGTATTTCTATTAGGATCTTTGAAAGACTCCAGCTAGACTAATGTTAAATGAAATTTATGAGAGGCCATTGTTTGGGACTAGACTCCCAGCAGACCAGACCAAATCAGAATGGAGCCACTCGTTGAAAGCGTCATGTCATCAGACTGAATTCTGAGACGGGCCAGTTTTCCAAAAAAAAAAAAAAAAAACAACTGGAGAATCATAGCAACCAGTCAGAAGAGTCCCAGATTACCTGAACCAGCATAAGAAAGCTCCTTCTGTTTTAAGGAACGTAACTTTTAAACAATATCTATTTATTCCCTATTTCTGCTTTCTTCTTCAATTTTTTCCTCTGCTCAGTCATTGGAGCTCTTATTCTGTTTTATAGAATGAAGTGCTGCCCGGATTCTTGAATTGCAAATAAAAGGCAGTTCGATGTTTAAACTCATCTTGTTTTTTAACACTAGTTTCTTAAGCACAGAGAATGTGCCTGCTGTTACTCTGGAAACTTTCACCTGAACCTCCAGGTTGAGCACCTGCCTCTCCCTGACTCCCATAATGCTCTGGGCACACACTTCTTGCTGCTTCAGTGTTGAAATTAACGTAAGGATATGTCTGTCTCTCCAACTAGACTATAAAGCCTGTAAAGACAGAGAACACGTCTTAGTCATCTTTGTACTTCAGCATCCACACAGCCACTAGCAAAGTGGGTCCGCGCAGCTATTTGGGCTTCTGTTCAGTTACTCATTCAACAAATATTTACTGAGATCTCACTCTGCACCAAGCTAGTCTAGGTATGAGTATATAACAGAGATCAAAATTGGTAAAATTCCTGCCCTCAAAAAACTTACACTCCAGTTGAGAGAAACAGACAACATAATAAATAAGTAAAATAAACATGTTAGATAGGGTAAATGATGAGAAAAAGGAGAAGAGAGGGTTAGAAGCTGGGAAGAGGTGTTGAAATTTTAGAGAAATGGTTTCACTGAGAAATCTTGTTTAAGAGGCCTAAAGAAAGTAAGGTGGTGGCCGGGTGCAGTGGCTCACGCCTGTAATCCCAGCATTTTGGGAGGTGGAGGCAGGAGGATTGCTGAGCCCAGGAATTTGAGATCAGCCTGGGTGACATAGTGAGACCTCACCTATGCAAAAAAAAAAAAAAAAATCCAGGTGTGGTGGTACACACCTGTAGTTCCAGCTACTCGGGAGGTCAAGGCTGCAGGGATCTGTGATGGTGCCATTGCACTCCAGGTTGGGCAACAGTGAGACCCCAACTAAACCAAAAAAAAAAAAAGTGAGGTGATTAGCTTTTTGCATCTGAGGGACAGTTGTCTTGGCCAAGAAAACAAGGGCAAAGTCTGGGATGGAAACCTTTCTGCCTAATGTGCTTGGAGAATAATGAGGTCCATGAGAGAGTGTGTAATAGGAAATTAAGTCAGAGAGAAAAGTGGTGGGAGAGACATCGTGGAGGGCCTTGGAAATCATGGTGAAGCCCAGGTCCTTTATCTAAATGGGATGGGAAGCTGCTGGAGGGACCCTTTAAGGAGAAGAGATGAACTCTGACTTACCTCATTAAAACGGAACACATTTACATAGTTCGAGAAGACATTATCTTCCACAAGATACAAACCCTTTTTTTTTTCTCTTTAGAGATAGGCTCTTGCTCTTTTACCCAGGCTGGAATGCAGTGGTGCAATCATGACCACTGAAGCCGTGAACTCCTGGGCTCAAGTAATCCTCCTGCCTATTTTTTTTCAAGAAGAGATCTTGCTAAAAAGTGGCTGGTCTTGAACTCCTGTCCTCAAACTATCCTCCTACCTCAGCCTCCCAAAGTGCTGGGATTTCAGGCATGAGCCACTGCGCTTTATGGCCTAAATCTAAAAGAAGAAGAATTTAGAAGATTCCAAATCCACAATATCTTTTAAAATCTCAACTCAAAAAATAGTGATCAAAACAAAGCAAAACCTGCGCCACCCTGTGGAGTTAAGGAGCACTGAAAATAGGCAAATTAAGGAAAAGTTAAAGAAATTTTAACTTTTATTGACACTGATCAAATTAACTGGAAAATAATAATAAAAAATAATAATAAATTGTTATGAGCAGAAGTACTAACAGTGATTTCAAGATATTTTAAGTAAGGAAAAATTAGAGAGCTACAGCCTGACCAAGTCCTCCACAGTAAAGATTGGGGAAATTTAGGTTAAAGCATCCATATGAACTTGGGGTGGATTTATGCTAATTTATGCTAATTGATTAGGACTGTGCCTACTTTTTTGTTTGCTTAAATTTGTTACTCTGGAATACTGAAAGGCCAATTTAGATTCTTGTTAATCCCCTGAAAAATAAAATTTGAGAATTGTTATAAATAGTGAAATGACGTCCTTGTTTCTCTGATATTGTTTTTTCTAATTCCTAGCTCTTATTTACATAATACTACACACACAATTGGCGTGATAGCCATATAGTGAAGTAAGAATTCTTAATTCATTTTCTTTCTCTTTTAAGATCTGGGCAGTCTTAATAGAATAATAACGTTTCAAGGGAGCATAATGTTTTTTAAAAAAATTAAGGACATTCTATGTGCTTTGTTAATTTCAAGAATAGAGCCACCTGTGATAAAGAGGTTACAAAAATGAATATACTATTGTCGTTGCTCTTACAAAGTTGATTATTTAACAGCCAGACAGATGAAATGATACTTTTTCCTATAGGATAAATTTAATATAATCTGGACTATGGTAGCATAACTTTGATAAAGGGGACATATATCAGATGGCAACATAATCTTAGTAAATTCACTTCAAGTGATTTATTTGGTAACACCTGCTTATGATGGTCAGCAAGTCTTTGGAAATTGTAAATACTTGGCAAATTAGGGCAGGAACATGCTTTCGCCTCCTCCAGAGGCTCTCTGTAGATCCAACTTGATCCCGAGAGCAGTTTCACGGCTGCCAGCTCCCGCCTCTCTGCACATCAACACCAGACGGTTACAGGAAACAAACCACGGATATGACAGCACATTCCTGGCAGTTTGTACATTTTGTTTCACAGACCCTACACTGAAAACAATGAACAAACCTTGAGATTACAAATGCTCTTACTAACAGTTTTAGAGACTTTCAATTTTTTGACTTCCTGCCTGCAGGAAGGAAATGACAGTTGGAAGTGTGGGGAACAGGTGTTCCCCTGAACAGAATGATATCTTCTGCTTACTAAAATAAAAAACACTGCATCAACACTCCTACATGGAAGTGAATTCTAACCACAAGACTCGGTCTTTTCACCACGGATCCAGCTTCAGAAAACCAAATCTGTTTCCTACCAGGAAGTTGTTAAACCCGGCATTAAAGAGCGAACGCAGGCACAGAGTTCCTCGAGCCAGTATTAGACTCGTTCAAGGAAAGAATCTGGGGAGTTTGAAAATGTCCTCGGCCTTGTGCTTCCAGTGATTGGCAGTGCAGTTGCATGTCAGATCCATCAGGGGACTTAGGGACAGAATCAGGATTGGAGGAAATGGGTTCCAGCTGACAGGGAGGTGATTTTAAGCCTCCTTCCTTTCCCTCTGTCTCCAAGTTAGGGGTCTGGCATTCTTTCCTTGCAGTAGCTTACTGTTGACATAACAGCATTCTTTTTTCTTTGCCAAGCTAGCTAGTTGCTCTACCCCTCGTGATGGAACCTTCCCTGCCTCCCACACTGTTACGTAAAATTTAGACAATTGACACCTTCAGAGGGCTGAAGACTGAGGTAATGGAAGGCTATTCTTTGGACCAGACAAATACCAGGCAGTCCTCTCCAGCCTCCCGAATTAGTGGTTCAAATCCGCAATGAAATGTACATTTTTGAGGGTGTAGGGATTGGAAAAGCTTGGGAAAGATACTGTCACACCGGTGTCTGTAATGCCTTTGTGAACGCTTGGAAAGGGTCATAGTGTTTTCCTAGCATGCATCATGAGATTAATCAGTGCTGCAATCCACAGGGTGTCTTTTCTCTCTTACCTTGGGACCCTAAGGAACCACGGCTATGGAGGAAGGCAACCTAGTGGTTTAATTTGGGACCAAGCACTGCCAAGGACCAAGGAGGGAATTGAAGCCCATGGACTGAGTGAATAGATTGTGATGAGACAGACAGAACAAGATTTCTCCTGAAATGTCACTGTGGGAGACAGCATTCCCTTGGAATAAAAGAAGAGTTAACCATTATCAAAGCCTGGCACATTTCCTCTGCTGCTCACTACTTCTCTTGGACTTCATTTGTTCATTCATGACTTCCATGAGTAGGCATGAAAGGCCTCTATGTGCTAAATAGGCACCGTGCTGTGAAATGAGGATGCAAAGATGAAAGCACGTGGTCCCGGCCTTTGAGAAGCTTATGGTTTTATAGGGATCCAGCGTGTAAATAATGTCAGGAGGTGTTTTGACAATGGAGGAAATGCTTGCTTCTGTTTGGAGATGGAGAGCAAGGAAAGATTGCACAGAGGAGAAAACCAAGTGGGTATCGGAGGCTGAAGCTACACTTTTTAGCCCTCTCCTATGAGAGCCAGAGAAGGTGACCCAATTCAACACAAAAGCCCATCTGGGAAGCAGTTACTCGAGGCTGTCCTGTCTTCTGCTTGTTTTTGGCTGTTTCATTGCCCTTTGGTATGACCATGAAAAGGGTAAGTATTGGTGGAGGAAAGATTTTTTTAAATAAAGCACAGCATTTTTATTAAACTGGAATTAGTTTTTAAATGGATTTGTATTCATCCACAGTTATTTTCTAAATTTTTTTTTCTTTTCAGCTGGGGTCTCACTCTGTTGCCCAGATTGGAGTGCAGCGGCACAATTACGGCTCACCACAGACTTGACCCCCTGGACTTAGACAATCCTTCTGCCTTAGCCTCCAAAGTCACTGGGACTATAGGCACGGGCTATCATGCCTGGCTAATTTTTATTTTTTATTTTTTTGTAGAGCTAAGGTCTCACTATGTTTGCCTAAGTTGGTCTCGAACTCTTGGGCTCAAGCCATCTCCTGCCTTGGCTCCCAAAGTGCTGGGATTACAGGTGTAAGCCACTACACTTGGCCTTATTTTCTAATTCTTATGCTCTTGAAATATTCAAACCATGGCAATATTAATACATAAAAAATGAAAACTCCCTCTATCCCACCTCACCCATTTTCCAGGAACAGCACTGTTCGTTTAATGAGTATGTTTCTGAATTTTAAAATTTAAATATAAATCTACAGCTATAATATTTTTAAATGGGATTGTACCATTCATATTGTTACACAGTGTCTATAACTTGCCTCTCTCTTTTACCTCTCTTCCTAATTTACTATATCATGAATATTCTTAGAACTATTTTCCTTTTTCTTTATTATTATTAGAGACAGTGTCTTGTTCTGTCACCCAGGAGTACAATGGTGCAGTCATAGCTCACTGTACCCTGAATTTCTGGGCTCAATTGATCTACCTACCAGTCTCCTGAGTAGCGAGGATTCCAAGCATGCGCCACCACACCTGGCTAGTTTTAAAATTTTTGGTAAAGACAGGATCTCGCTATGTTGCCCAGGCAGATCTCCAACTCTTGACCTCAATGATACTCCTGCCTCAAACTCCCAAAGTGCTGGGACTAAAGACATGAGCCACTGTGCTCTGCCAGAACTATTTTTCAAAGAAATGTCATTACACTGTACAGAGAAGATGGCTGACAATATATCGATAATGCTCTGAGTAAACAAAAATATAATTATAGGCACAGACTCACCTCCTCTGAGAAGTCTTCTCTGATTAACACAACTTGATTTTTTTCTCAGTCATCTTCTCTGATTCATCCAGTATTTGTACATGTGTTTCTGAATGATGTCTGTTCCTGTTCATAAACATATTCCTTTGTTTTAGACTCAAGCCCTTCTTGTTGTAAGGAACAAAGACTTCCTTTTGTAAGAATACACGTGATCTGGAAAGTTCAACAACTGAGGCGCCCTTAGAGACTGGTCTTTCTTGCTGTGCTCGCTTCCTTCTGTTGATCTGTTCCAGTCTTCCTACTCTCCAGATCAGGTTCCCACCCACTAACTTATATTCTTTCACCGTCTGGCTTCTACTTGTTCATTCATTCATTCATGCTAGGGGGTCCTAGCACATAGTTTGGTTTGCTCTGATTTGGACTCAAAATCATGGTCTCCTGTACCCAATTCTCCCCATGTTTCTTAGTTCAAATTCCTAGGGGTGAGACTCTGGTCGGCCCCGTGTATGCCAGGCTATTCACAGATTGCTGGAAACTCTAGGGCCCAGTGCCCATTCCTCCAGGCAGATGAGGCTGGAGAAGGATGGAGGACTGTGGGTGGGGAGGTAGCCCTTCCCAGCCCTAACCTGCCAGCACACTCCGTAATCATCCTCGGGTCTTTCCTCTGCGTTTGGGTCATCTTCCTAACCAGAGTGTAACTTAGGGTTGGCCACGGTCTGCACATAAGTGTTCAGTAGACAATGGGAACACAGTCAGTTGTTTCTTTACATGTTGGACTCACTGTAAGCAGCAAGTGAGAGTCACAGTGACTGGCGTGTCCCAAGAGGTGGAAAACACAGGTCACATTGGATGTGTGTTAACGCTCTTGGTGTCATCTATTTATTATTATTATTGTTATTTTGAATTGGAGTCTCACTCTGTCACTCAGACTGAAGTGCAGTGGCCGCTCCTGGCCACTGCAGCCTCGACCTGCTGGGCTCCGGCGATCCTTTCGCCTCAGCCTTCTGAGTAGCTGGAATTACAGGTGTGTGCTACCGTGCCCTGCTGATTTTTTTATTTATTGTAGAGATGAGGTCTCACCAAGTTGCCCAGGCAGGTCTCGAACCCGCGGGCTCAGGCAATCCACTCACCTCAGCCTCCCAAAGTACTGGGATTACAGGCTGAGCCACCGAGCCTGGCTTATTATTTATTTACTTATTTGAGACAATTTCACCCTGTTGCCTAGGCTGGAGTACGGAGGCATGATCTGGGCTCACCACAGCCTCGACCTCCTGGACTCAAGCAATCCTTCTGCCTCAGCCTCCCAAGTAGCTGGGACTACAGGCATACACCACCACACCTGGCTAATTTTTTTTTATTTTTTGTAGAAATGGGTTTTCATTTTGTTGCCTGTAATCCCAGTACTGTATGCCTGTAGTCCCAGCTACTGGCCTATAGTCCCAGCTACTAGCCAGGCTGGTCTCAAACTCCTGGGCTCAAGCTATCCTTCCACCTTGATCTCCCAAAATGCTGGGATTACAGGCGTGAGCCACAGCACCCAGCCATCATCTTTGAAAATAAAAGGAGGCCGGGCTCAGTGGCTCAGTCTGTAATCCCAGCACTTTAGGAGGCTGAGGCGAGTGGATTGCCTGAGCCTGCCGGTTCGAGACCACCCTGGGCAACTGGATGAGACCTTGTCTCTACAATAAACAAAAAATTAGCTGGGTGTGGTAGTACACATGCCTGTAATTCCAGCTACTTGGAAGGTTGAGGCAGAAGGATCGCCGGAGCCCAGCAGGTCGACGCTGGGATGATCATGAATGTGCTACTGCACTCCAGCCTGGGTGACAGAGTGAGACTCCAACTTAAAAAAAAAAAAGAAAAGGAGATTATGAACCAGAAGAAAATTATAGGTGAGAAATAAAAAGCTAAAGTCAATTTTTTTTTTTTTTTTTAGTAAGTTGGAATTTATTAGAAGATAGGAAAGCTCTGGCAGCAGGAGGGGACCCGAAAGAGGGTTGCCCTAGGGTCAATTTTAACTTCCTATAAGAGGAAATAAAAACAGAGCTTTCAAAACAGAATGATAGATCTGGGCAAGAAACTTCTTTTTCAAGAGCCAGGCTATTTAATTATATTCTTCAAATGCTCAGGTTGTAATTCCTATTAATAGACAAAATTTGCAGATGAAATTATGACCCAACATCGCGCTGATGACACAAGATAGAGGGTTAGGAGGTGAAAATGTAATTTGTATCTAGTATCATTTAAATGGAGATTTTTTTATCAAGGATAATACAGTCAACTGATGTCAATAGTGTGATATCAGAAATAGTTGACAGCAGGACTGCTTAGGTAGGTTTCTGATACATCCTTTCATATTATTGTCACCATCTTTCCAAGTTCCTTTCTTTATTTGAGCTTCTGCTAGACTTCAGTGGGTTCAAAATTCGAGTTTAAATAAAATAACTACTGGCCAGGTGCGGTGGCTCACACCTATAATCCCAGCACGTTGGGAGGCTGAGGTGAGAGGCTTGCTTGAGCCCACGGGTTCAAGGTCAGCCTGAGCAACTTGGTGAGACCTCATCTCTACAATAAATCAAAAAATTAGCCAGGCGTGGTGGTGCATACCTGTAGTTGCAGCTACTTGGAAGGCTGAGGCGGAAGGATTGCCTGAGTCCAGCAGGTCAATGTTGCGGTGGCCGTGAGCATGCCACTGCACTCCAGCCTGGGTAACAGAGTAAGACTCTGACTAAAAAAAAAAAAAAGTGAAATAACTAGTTAGCTTGAACCAGCTGAGACTCCTGTAATGGGAGGGCAGAAGGTGTTTATCCTCAGGGCCACCACCAGAATCCTGAATGCATTCTGAGAGTAGGCGGCACAGGGCCTCTTCTGCCAAGGGCCCGAGAGAGAGAAAGCCTGCAGAAATATTGGTCTGATCAGCATGACAGCAGGTATAGGGGACGCCATCTAAAGAAGCTGGCCGGGTGCAGTGACTCACGCCTGTAATCCCTGCACTCTGGGAGGTCAAGGCAGAAGGATAACGTGAGCCCAGGAGTTCTAGACCAGCCTGGGCAACAAAGCAAAACTTCATGTCTACAAAAATTTTTTTAAGATTAGCCAGGCATGATGGTGTGCGTCTGTAGTCCCAGCTACTTGGGAGGCTGAGGCAGGAGGATCACCTGAGACCAGGTAGTCGAGGCTGGGGTGGTCTATGATGGTGCCACTGTACTCCAGCCTGGGTGATAAAGTGAGTGCCTGATTCAAAAATAAGAAATAAAGAAGCAAGCTTACAGAAGTACAGGAGTTAATGTCTGCTATGTGATGGCCTTCTCAACCCTACTGCTCCATTTGTATGAGTTGGGCTCTACCCTCTTGCCCAGGCTTCTCTGTGGCTCCTAGCTGGTTTCCCTATCTCCCAGGTAGTGCCACTCTGTCCTTCTTCCACATGAGCACTGACTCTCCTTCCCAGATGACCAAGGGGCTGCTGCATTCAGAAAGCATTGCCTTTTCACCACTTGACACACACACACAGACACACACACCCCAGATCCTTCATGGGATATTGACATTCTGACCCCTTCTGATTTTTCTAACATCGCCGTCTCCTACGCCCCACTGTGCCACACTGGAGTCTCATTAACCACAGTCTCTTTGTCTCTTTATGACATGTCACTGACACCCCAACACCTCCGGTCCATCTTGATTGTCCTTATCTTTCCCTCCCCTTCCCACAGCCCAAAGATGTCCTCCCATGTGCTACCATAGCATTGAGTTTATGCTTCTGACCTTAGTTCTATTTTGCTGATCCTAGGTTTTTTTCCTCCTCTGAACTGTGAGCATTTTTTTTTTTTTAAAGTTGGAATCTCACTCTGTAACCCAGGCTGGAGTGCAGTGGCATGCTTATGGCCACCACAGCCTCGATCTGCTGGGCCAGGGGATGCTTCCTTCTTAGCCTTCCAAGTAGCTGGAGCTACAGGCGGGCGCTACCACACCCAGCTTATTTTTTGATTTATTGTAGAGATGAGGTCTCACCAAGTTACCCAGGCTGGTCTCGAACCCCTGAGCTCACGCAATCCTCTCACCTCGGCCTCCCAAGGTGCTGGAATGACAGGCTTGAGCCACTGTGCCCAGCCAGGACTATAAACATTTCAGGGCAGGAACCTCTGCAATTCATCTTTACCCTCTGACCCCTAGTAAAATGCTTATTGCTGGTGCTCAAAAGTGGTTTTTAGAGGAATGATATTCATGGAGTTAATTATTGTCTTATAAATATTTGATGGGCTTTTGGATTAGACATAGGGAGCTCTTAATGCGTTCATCCCGGTAACAGGTTTCTAATATCACCATTTTAGTTTCCTGGCCAGTAAAATAAAAATAACATTAATATGTGTCATATGGCAACTAATGTACAATAATGAATGAGTATCTTAAGCATCAGGAAGATTAGGAAGTCGACAAGGTGAGTCCAAACTCCGTTTTTAAGCACTTGAAAGGGAGGGTAGTTTTCCAGGATGAAGACTCAGGATTTGGGTACCTCTCTTTGCCTGAATTTGCTTAAATACAAAAATAAGGGATCAGATTACATCTATTCTTTCCCTCTAACTCTAAAAATTATATTATTCTAATGGTTCTGCTTAGCAAGAGTTGAATATAACACAAATGACTTTTGTGCTCAAATCAACAATCAATACCACCTTTTTTAAAAAAAACCTGTTTTTAACCAATGCTCCCAGTCATGCTGTAAAGTTCATTTGACTTCTAATAATGGATGTGCAAATACATTTAGTGATCACTTCCACAATGCCCTGTTTCTTTAAGAGACCGTGGTTGTTAAGTTAGAAGATCATTGACCCATAGGACGGTCAATAAAAGAATAAAAAGTCGCTGGTTAGTGATTCGAGGACAAGGAACTTGATCCTAGCTCAGTCTCTGTGTGTCCATATGCTACCTGCAGTCAGAGCTCCGGATCCTCAGCTGTTCACATTTCCTTGGGATGGCTTCTGGAAGACTCATCAAGTTCCTGGTTTTTGAGCTTCTGGAATATGCTGCTTTCTCCATCCCCACGCTTGTGATTACAGAGCAGTTTGCCACCGCCTACCAGAGAACAAGGACTATACCTGAGAAAACACACTATTGGCTCATTGTTTCCTGCTCTATTGCCTATGTGGCGTCAGTGACTCTATTGATTTGGGTTCCTGTAAAAGTTCTCTTGCACAAGAAACATCATCTTTACAAAAAAGTTATAGGATGGTAAGTAAAAGAATTATCTAGCAGGGAATCACTATGACGTTTTCAAACTGTCCCATATATGGTGATGTGTGAGGATGTGAAGAGAGCCTGAGTGTATATTATGTGAGATTGACAGGAGATTCCTATCACTGTTTCTGTAGATGTATGGATATTATGATATTATCTTAAATTTTTCTACAGTCATTTTTTACTGAGTGATAATAACAAACTGCTTGTGTTAATAAGACAAGTTAGCGCCAGTCCATGCTACCTTAATGCGTAAATGTTACACCTAATTCCTCTGTGCACTAAATGGTGTAAAGTTATCAGAGTGATTTACACAAGTCATAATATCAAGATTATAATATAGAGTTTTACTGTTATATAAAACTGAAAATAATGTCTGTTTGCATTGCATTTGCAGGTCTAAGTCATACTTTGGCCATTAACTAAGATTTTTTTAAGCATCTGTTTTTTTACTTGATCTTTAAAAAAAAACTTTACTATGATGACAAATTCTGTTACCCTTGTGGGGGGTACTTCAATAACAATACAAACATATTTTGAATGAATCAAGAGTTAATGTGATTTAGCTAATCCACACAAAGGTATTGAGAACATATATTCTCTGCTACTAATGTATTTTCCCTTTTAGATCTTCATATCGGATTTTTACTCATCTGAGATTTCTCTGTTCTCTTGGATAAGTTTTCTTTCATATTTATCTTTTATTTTGAAGGTGAACAACAGAACACAGTTGAAAAGTGAGGAGCTGGGAATGTTAACGCAAGCAAGGGCAGAGATGTAAAAATACTAGATGCAACAGCACAGCTAGACATATTGTGAGAGGATGCTGAAGGAGAGCTGAAATGTGGAGTTCATGACACTGTTTCAGTTCCCCTAGGGCAGGGCTTTTAAGGGATATCCAGAAATAACCCATTTTATTGTTGGCAGTGCTTTTAATCAGTAGGGTTTAGAGGCTTCCCAAACCTTGACCAGAGCCCCAGGGTCACCTAAGGAGTAGCTTGGAGCTGAGTTGGGTCTTTCACTTCTCACAGCCCTGTAGGGGTTGCTTTGACTATACAAGAGTCCTGGGTGGGCCAGGAATTTTGAGGGAGTGGTGGAAAGTCCAAATGACAACCAGAGTAACCCAATGGGTTGCTGGCCTACCACAGCCCAGGAAAGAGCTCTGGGTTTGGTTTTGTTTCACATTCGCTCAAATCTCCAGGACTCATGATTCCAAATGTCATTCAGGCAACAAAACTTCCCATATCTATTATTATTATTATTACTATTGTTAAACTATAATTGGTTCCTTTCAGATCATTTACTATGTGCCAAAATAAGTACTGATATGAGGCAGTATAGAAGTGTCTATTTCACCTTGTAAAGTAGATATTTTCATGATTTTATCATTATTATTCCCAAGAGGAAACTGATGGTTACAAAGGCTAAACACTTTCCCAAAGTCAGTCAGCTAGTGAGTGAAAGAGCCAAACTTTGGACCTGGGTATGTCTGACTCCATAATGGGTATTTCTAACCACTACTCTAAATTGTCTCTTTAAGGTCAAAGTCCCAATCTTCTGGGGCAATTGAGATTAAGGAAGAGAGTAAGCAGTCTACTCCCCAGTGCATGTGCTGTACTTATCACCTCTGGTGTCTGTTCAGATTTTTTGTTCATCTGATCCAGGTACTTTACCTGTGCTAAAGTGTTTTGGGCTGTTACAACAGTTACATCTTTCAGTATTTCTTTTGAGAAATACACTTAAAGTCTTTAGTTTCGTCTGTGGGTGTGGCTGGCCACAAGTGTTTTAAATGGATAGAAAACAGGTGATCTATAATTTCAGTGAAACTGAAACTATTTCCTCATGACCTCATTCATGAGTACTGTCATACAGGTATCTTTCACTGCTGTAGAAGAGAAGAGCTAGCTACTGGATATCTATTCTAGGAGCTTTACACATTCTGTATTGTTAAATTTAAACTTTATGACAACCTAGTGAAGAGTGGGTGCTAGTGTTTTCATTTTCTAAATAAGGAACCTGAAACTTGAAGAAGTAATTAACTTTGTAAAGTAATAAAGCTAGCAAGTGGTGGAGCTAGGATTCGTCAACCCAGATCTGTCTGATTCCATGCTATTTCCTCTATCTCATGCAACTTTTTCTTTATTTTTTTTTAATTTGAATGCCAACTGAGTTTTAAGAAAAAGCAGCTCCTTTAGTGTCGTTAGGATACGTTTCTCCCAAGATGTATATTTAGATATTATACATGGTTCCCAAAGATGTATATTTGAATATTGTAAGATATGGGGTAATATAGAGAGTGTCACATTTTAATTACTAAATGAGGATGATGCAAAAATAGTTGCTATTGTTGAAAGTAAGGATTGAGAGTATGAATTATTTTTGAAGAATAATTAGATAAATAGTTGGTTTAGTGAAATTTTATAGATTCTGAACACTCAGATACTTAATGTTAACAAGACTATTTGAGAGTTTCCCTGGAGGTCTACACTGGCATTTTGAGCCCTTTGAGGGTGATCTTTAGGACAGAGTGAGTTATCAACTAGTAAAGAGTGTGCCCTGGGAATACATCTAAGTGAGAGCTGATCTGAATTTAAATGATAGCTTTGACATTGACTGTGAGATCATGTGTGAGTTACTTAATTCTTTGAGCTTTAGTTTTTTCATGAGCAAAATAGCAACAACTTAGTTTCTTCCTTAGGTGTTGTTTTAAAAAACTGCATAAGATTATGCATACGAGTTCCTAGCATAGTTGCCTGATATATAGTAAGCACTTGGTGAATATTAATGTTATTATCTTAGACCAAATTTACTATTTCCATTTTAAATGTGATCTTGGACTGGGAATGGTGGCTCATTCTTATAATCACAGCACTTTGGGAAGTGGAAGCAAGAAGATTGCCCGAACCTAAGGGTTTGAGACCAGCCTGGGCTACTTGGCGGGTCCTCGTCTCTACAATCAATAAAAAAAAATTAGCTGGATGTGGTGGTGCACACCTGCACTTCCAGCTATTTGGAAAGTTGAAGTGGTTCCTTTCTAGGGATGATTGTCATCATTCATAATAATGAGAGAGATGTGTGGAGGAATGAATTTAAGTCATTTATACACACATCAGACTGTGTATGTAAAAGAAACAGAGAGAGTGCCTTTCCTGAAATATCAGTTAATATGCGAAACCATGGAGCTACAAGGCAGGCCTGAAACTGGAACCTACTGGAGCTACAAGGCAGGCCTGAAACTTCTCCATTGAGAAGGTACACTGAGGACAGGATAATGCTAGAGTCTTCGTGGGGATTCCCTGACTGTCTTGGGACCCAGACTATATTTCAGGATCACCTGAGCCCAGCACGTCAAGGCCGCAGTGGTCATTAGTGTGCCACTGTGCTCCAGTCTAGGCGACAGAGTAAGACTCTGACTCAAAAAAACAAAATCTGTGTAATCCTCAGGATGCTTCTGAAAAGTGGTAGAAGTGATGATAAAATTGATAAAGCTGAAGAAAAATATATGCTATCAGTAATATTGCTCAAATTTAGAGAATTTTGCACGTCTCTTTTGTTCTCTGAGGATAATGTGGGCCAATATGGTGTGACAGGTAATAACTTAGAAAGTGTTTTACATTTACACAGTGTATTTATGTTGCATTTTCTCACCAGACCTGCATGCCTGTGTTGTGAAGTTGACCAAGTGAACATAATTCCCATTTTACAAGGGAAGAAACAATTTCAGAGAGCTTAAAACACAATAAATCAACAGTTGAGTCTGAACTTTAATCCAGTGTTCTTTCCTTTACTCTTGTTAAACACTTCCTCATTCTTCTAGAATTATGGTTCCTTTTTAGGGATGACTGTCATCATTCATAATAACGAGGGAGATGTGTGGAGGAATGAAAAAAACAATTTATATACACATCAAACTGTGTATGTGAGAGAGAGAGAGAGAGATTGAGAGAGAGAGATCTTTTCTTGGAATATCAGTTAATATGTGAAACCAATGAGCTACAAGACTGGTCTGAAACTGGAACAGATCTCCATTAAGAAGGTACACTGAGAACAGGATAATGCTAGAGTATCCGTGAGAATTCCCTGACTGTCTTGGGCCCAGAGCTATATTTCAGGAATCCTTCTGAGTCCTTCAGGGCACAATTACTTCAGAAAGATGATGTACCAGGAATCGTGGGCAGTACCAAGTGTGAAAGACCCCAACATTTGGGGCTACAATTTACCTTGCTTAAGTCTTTAACATAGTTGATGAGACTTGCTGTTGATCTGGTTTAGACATAGTGATGGTAGTGATAGTAATAGTTCTTGTTGTTGTCATAGTAAAATAAGAGCAAATACTTATTGAGCAATTACCATATAGAAAGCATAATTCTAAACACATTGTCTGTATTACTTTAGTTATATTCTAATTTTTGCAAATAAGAATAGTTATAGTCCCCACGTTACATATGAGGAAATTGAGGCACAGAGGTTAAAAGACCATACAGCCAATGAGTAGTTGAGACAAGACTGCTCTGAGAGTATGTATTTCTAGAGCCCCACCTCTTGGGCACCCTACTGTCCCACAGTAGCACACAGAGGGAAGCAGCCAGAACCAATCACATCTGTGGACACACTGGCTAACTTGACAGAAATAGAGTTCGCTTTTTTCAGCAACCCTGACAGGTCATTGGTAAGATATACCATTAACTAAACACTGGCGTTTAATAGTTACTTCTTCCCAGAATACTCTCGTTTCTCTCAGTCTGCTCTCTGTCATGTTTGACATTTTCTCATAGGTTAATTGGTTATCAGTATTTTCTAAAAGTCATGTGTTTATGTCCTCGACCTGTTTTTCTGTTGGTATATCCGTCTTTTCTTTCTTTCTTTCTTTCTTTCTTTCTTTCTTTCTTTCTTTCTTTCTTTCTTTCTTTCTTTCTTTCTTTCTTTCTTTTTATTACTGATTCATGAGTTCTATAAATATTAAGGATGTGAACTTTTGTCTGTCATAGGTGAAG